ATGTGCTGAGTCATGCTAACAGCCAATTAAAAGCCTACTGTCCCACACTGATCTGTGATGTGAAACCCACAGATCTAGAGGCTGAAAAGGTTTATTGGGTTTTCAAGAAGCAGCAAATTCGGAACATTTTTCAAGTAAACAGTCGACATCTTCATCAATAAACTTTGATATGTTTACATAACACAAATGCAAGTGATAAACTGTAGCCAAGGATATTCTTGGCTGATGCATACTTTTGGCATGAGAAGAGGAGCTCTCACAGAGTTTCTATCACCATATTTAGAGCGTGAACACCAGTGAGTTTCAAATAACACCTCTGTATTATTTCCTCTCTGCTCTGCCAGCAGAATGAGTTTGAAGAACAGGCCACAAAGAAAGTGGATGACCTGCTGGAGAGCTACATGGGCATCAGAGATCTGGAGCTGGGTAAGACCATCCACAGAACATTTGTGTCCTTAAAATAGACATTACCTTTCAGTCCATGTAGGGAATGTAAGGAAGTGATATATAGATTGTTCATACACAAACCCAGGAGTCTGTGGGATTTACTGTGGCTTTACAATCCATGGTGGTTGCATGCCCCTCTCGCATGCTGGGATATACCAGCCTGCTTTGATCCCGAGACAAATTTTCTGTGTGATTTTTGCTATATATGGTACGTTCATATTTTTTTTGGGTGCACCTATTTCCCCTCAACATTTTTGACATTTAATTTGGCTTCAGCTGGTGAGCTCCTGCATTTTTGGCAATGCCTTCTGATGACCCCCGATGAATATGTCATGTCATTGCAATGGAGGGAGCACTAATGATGGTTAACAAAAAAAGCTGAGCATTTATTTTCCCAGAGCTTTCTTCCACACATTTCACAGCTATTCTCAGCCAAGGAAGTTTGATCATCATGGAGATGTCATGTATGCCAATATGCTAAAATGAATAAAATAAAATTTGGAAGACTTTTTTTTTGTCAAAGTCAAGAATAAATACTAAAAGTAGTGTTATCAGAAATATTATACATAATTAGAGGGACACTTCAGATCCCTACCAATACAACTGCAACTTTAAGATAAACAATGAGGGGGGCACATACTTTTCCCTTTCCCAGACTTTCAAGGTCAATGGCCTTGGCTGTTCAGACCTAAATATAACGTAAAATGGGTTAATGATTCCTCAATGTGTCCTTCATTCTGTTGTTTACTTGGATGTTAGCCTACATAAACATTTGCATATTTTGGTCTAAGAAAATTAAGATAAGAAAAATACTGGAAATGCTGTTGTTGACCTAATTCTACAACATTCAGCTACTATATGTACATCATGATCCAAGTCAATGTTTTACTAATATACTGTATATTCATGCACATAGAAGTCTTGGTAGTCTTTTTGAGATCCTGTTTTTTGGGTAAAAAATATACATAGTTAGATGATAGTGACACATGAATGAGAGCAGATTTAATTAATGTGACAGTGCATTCATTTTGAATGCAATTTGAACATTGTTGAGTATGTCTGCATAATGCAAGATACAGTTTTTGGGAGATGTTGTTTTCATTTTGAATGTATATATTTCCTGCACATTAAGATGCAGACTGAGTACATTTTAATTTACTGTATGTCATATTTAATGTAAGCCCTGATGTAAAGATAAGTAGATGAGAAGAAGATACTATGGGATATGCACAGTATTCATGCTCATCTTGTCTTTTCAGTGTTTCCCCACACATACTTGGGTGTTCCATGAATATTGTGACCCACATTCAAAATTGCAGAGGTTCATAAGTACAATTTGACATCACTGGGGTTTCTCCCAAGAAACTGCCAATGTATCTTTCATCGTGTGTTTTTGTTAAACAAAAATGGCAGCATTATGAGTAAATTCAAATCAACAGGGTTGCATTGTGCATTTTTCCAGTTTAGTTAATGTCTTGGCTACCTTTTTGACATCGAGATTATAATTAAACCTGAAACGGTGATACTTCTGGATAAATTTAAAGCAGCATTTTGTCAATGGGCCACTTTTATGCAGTAAAAGACAAGAAATCTGACCTAAATGGGTTTTGGTGCCTGTTGTGGCCTTGGCTGGTGAGGAACAAAACTTGAACAGAACTCATTTGGCTGTGAAAACTTAAACTTTTGTGTCCCCTTTTTCTCTGCAGCAACCACAATTGTGGAAGCAGGCAAAGACAAGAAGAACCCTGATGACTTTGCAGAGGCCTTGGATTCAGTCCTGGGAGATTTTGCTTTCCCTGATGTGTTCTTGTTTGATGTATGGGGGGCTATTGGAGACGTCAAGAATGGCAGAATCTAAACATTTGTTGTTTAGACAAAAGTGAGAGTGGGGGAAAAAAAGGAAGCTTTTAAGATTGCCTTCCTAGCCCTGACATGAATTTTTAATCACTATAAAACCATGATTGGAACTGCTATTCATTCAACCATTTCACTTTGAACAGTCAAATAACAATAATTTGTTTTTTGATGGTGGACAACTGCAACAGTGAAATGTGCTGGTTCACCAAATGAAATTTTGATTAAAGATAAGTTTTTTTTACGCCTCCCTCCCCATACATATAGACCATTTTGTAGGCTACAGGACACATAAGCAGTGAGTTAGGAAACATGACTGCAAAACAGTCGACAATCAGCCAGTCATCTAGGAATCCAGGAAGTCAGATAAGCAAACTCTTTTGCTCTGATGAAGACCCACTGGGAAAGCAGGTAAGGAACGAGGAGACATATTTGTCATTTTAAAGTCAGAATGTATTACTCTACTTCTCCATTAACAACAACCTATACAAGCTAGAGATCGGTGTGTCACATAATGTTAGTAGGTTTTCACTATATTTATATAAAATTGGTTCACCTTTTTCAAGCAAAGTGGCACCCATGCAATTAAATCTTCAAAAAAAAAAAAAATCATTGCAATCAAAATATCCACAGTCCTTCAAGTAAGTTATTGATCAGGACTTGCTTTTCTGTTTTAAGACATTAATCAAACTTATTATCTGAACATTAAATCATGAGAGTGAACACCAGCTAGGGCAATGTGAAACCACTGCTCTGCAATCCAGTTTCCCACATGATCATTACTGTCAAACAGGAACCCAAGCCATAATTTCCCATGTAAAAATAAAAAACTAAACAAATAAAGCTAGTTATTGTGCATGAAAACCAGTTCCTTGGAGTTCCCTGTAAAAATGAAGGTCTTCATCATCAGTAATATTAAAATAACATGTCACATATTCAGAGAGAATGTAAATATACTAGGTTGTTGTACCCTTTATCAATGTTCTTAGTTTATTTGTCTGTCTCTGCGCTGGATAGCATTTACTGAAGAGAAGATAAGTGCACATGAAACTTTGTTTTCTTTTTACAGTTATGTTTTCTGGCTCACCAGACAACATGAATAAGGTATTAAATCATATTCTTAGTGCACATGTAGGCAAGTAATCACTGAACTGACAAAATTTGAAAATGCTGTTTTACTCAACTTCACTCATTCTGGCTATTGTTCTACATCAGTATTTGTCTGATAGTGATGTTTTGTTTTAACACTTTGTATATGATTACACCTCTTTATGAAGACCTGGAAATGTATGGTACATTTTACATGTTTAAACTGTAAGTAAAAAGGTTGAAATCATATTTATCAAGCTTGTGTGTGTTTAACAGAGAAGTTTATTTCCTTTATGTATATGTACAATCACATGCCATTTCTGTCAAACACATTCAACATTTACACTTTTACATCTTACATTTTCATTGGATGATACTGCTGAAGAGAGAATCTCAGCCATCATGAGTAATTGTTCAGGTCAATTTGTTCAGTAATTGAGTGCCAATCACACTGATACCAGTGATAATACAACGTTCAAAGCAAATGATGTGCACAATCAATGTGCATAGCTGGGTGACTGAGTAATCCAGTACTGTAACAAAAAGGAGGGAGGTCATTTTCAACAAAACTATAACAATCCAGCTAAAATGTTCGTCACGACATTGCCCAAATTATCAGACTGAATTACTGAGTTATCAAACAAGTGTTGTAATCTGTGAACATGTTTATCCTTCTCTGTAGGCAGTGACTTGAAGTTTCTGATAAACATCTCTGAGAGGCAGAGAGGCTCTGGAGGAAGAAATTACAACAGTTTCATTAACACTGGACTGAAGCCCAGAAAAAATGCAAAGAGGAATGTTTCTGGTCTTATGTAACCATATTGAATTATTCATTAAATTATTTTGAAATTCCCTACCTCCTTAGCAATTCTGGATCTAAAAAAATATTTGTGTGGTCCAATGACTAATTAGGAGAACAAAACCACACCAGTGATAGTGAAGTGGAAATGCTGCTTTTGAAACTAGTCATGTATTACCATCTTAGTATGATATATTTATATATCACTCGCCAAAGATAATAGGCCATTTACAGTAGTAATGCTTTCTTCTTATCAGATTTACTAAATATATAACCCGAACAACAGGCATTGTTTTTTATATAGCAGTTTGTAATTTTAACCTATTTATGTAGGTACTGTCACCTTTCGTGCAAAATAATATAATTTAAATACTTTTATTACATCTGAGTTCTGAAGTTAACTTTGAAAAAAAATCACTCTATTAATTAACATTAACACTGTATTTTCATGGTAAACTAGCATGGGTCCGTACAGTATATGACAGACAAGCATGAGATGGGAACCAAAAGTTTGGAAAAGTTAGCAACTGATCATTTCCAGGGTTTTGCAAAGTTTGGACATTTCAACTTAATCATGTGGATGCATCCATCCATCCATTTTCTTCCACTTATCCTCTAGTAGGGTCGCGGGGGGGCTGGAGCCTATCCCAGCATCTTTTCGGGCGAGAGGCGGGGTACACCCTGGACAGGTCGCCAGTCCATCTCAGGGCAAACACATAGAGACAGACAACCATTCACTCTCACAGTCACACCTATGGTCAATTTGGAGTATCCAATTAGCCTAGTCCCCATTTGCATGTCTTTGGACTGTGGGAGGAAGCCGGAGTACCCGGAGAGAACCCACACAGGCACGGGGAGAACATGCAAACTCCACACAGAAAGATCCCGCGTCCGAGCCAGGACTCGAACCTGGAACCTTCTTGCTTTGAGGCGACAGCGCTAACCACTGCACTACCGTGCCGCCCCATGTGGATGCATGTTCTGTGCTATTACACATGGCTTTGCAGTAGCTCCACTGTCAAAACTGTTCATTTAAATACTTTCAGAAAGGGAACGATACATGAACAGTACTGGGCATGAGCCTGAAAACACAGTTATGGTAAATAATTCTTCCTGGGTCTATTGTGACACTCGAACACCCAAACAAAAGTGTACATGTGCCTAAAAGGCAGCTGTACTGTAATACAGTGTTTAAAACTCAAACATCATAAAAACACTTGATGGAACTGTACAAGGGCAGTGCATGTAGACAGCTTAAAAGGTGCCTTAGCTGACTTCATATAGTGATAAGCGGGATTGTTTTTATTGATGGATTGCAGGTTTGATCCCTGCTCTGTCTTTATACTTTGCTCTGAATTAAAGTGTTGCTGCTAATACTGAAAAACATTTCAATGGTATGCTGTAACAAAATCCTTTCAGATTATAGGAGCAACCTTGCATGTTGTGCTCCTCATCGTCGACAAAAACTGATCAGACATTGGAAACAGTCAAACACATACTGTGACCCTAATGATGTCCCTCATTCTGCTGCAAAAACAGCTCAAATCCAACCAATCATGGAGAAGGAGGTGGATGCTTCAAGCTAGATGGGGGTATTACATTTGTTTTCCCCGTCTCTCCTGTCTCATCTGATCCCAGGGTGCTCCCCAGTGAAGAACGTGTGAACCTGCGCAGGGTGTTGCTTAAAGGTGGGTACAAGGTCATAATGGAGCTCCGGGACCAGTCGAAGCGGGGGTAGATTCTCTTAAGAACGGCCCTGCGAAACAGGATGTATATCCACGGGTCAAGGATTTGGTTCCAGGTGGCGAAGCGTAGCCATAGCAGTAGGTATTTGATCTGGAGTTCGGCTCCAGACAGCACAGTTTGTGCAATAAAGATCTGGAGGTGGAGATAGTGATGGAGAAATGAATGGTGGAGAGGTCAAGAGGGTAAACAAGAGGAAGGCAAACATTTGCAGGAGAGAATAGAAAGAGACACATACATGTAAGTCCACTGAGGGAATGGCTTAATAGCCTTAATAGCATTAGCCCAACAATCTCTTGTGGGGTTAAAACAAGCTAACAAGCTCCTTTAGGAATGACAAATTGGCTTATTGTTGACTCTGTTCCAAATTCAGATGGTGTTCTATCTGTTCTCCAGTGGTTAACAGTTACCATCATCCATTATATACAGTGTTTTTTTTTTAAAAAAAGAAGAAAACTTGCATTCAAGTGTTGGGTTCAAACCACAGTTTTAGTTAAACAAACTTTTCTCAGAGGCAGAGGTGCTTCAGGGATTGAAACAACCAAGAATCACAGTTTCTAGTTAGCTTAGTGGCTAGCAAAGAAGTAAACAGTAATATTCATGGTCTTGTTTACTGGCATCAGGGCTATTTTGAACTCTGAGGCATGACTGCACCTTGATTACATTTTTCAGGAGCATTACAATTACTGAACCTGAACACCCCTTTTGATGTTTATTTTATAAGGATTTCTGCAGCTCTGCTCTGAAGAAATGTTTGAGTAAATGACTAAGACTACAATGTGCAGATTGTCAAGATATCAAAGGGTATCTCTGTTAGTTTCAGGGAGAGAAAGCAGACAAAAGCAAACAAAAACGAGAATGGGCTGAAACCATCTCAATATGTTTATTAACTCATGGAATGGAATAAAATATACACAGCAGCAGCAAAACCAAGATGGGACACTGGCTGGACTATGAAGCATGCTTGATACTAATACTGTGAATTTATGGGTGATGAATTGGAAGCTGAAGGGCACTGGGTAAGCTGTGATACAGAGATGAGTTCATCCATGAGTTTCATTGGCAGAGGACATGCTTAGGTAGTCTTTCGGCGTTTTGTTTTACTTTTTACTCGCCTCAGTTGGGACACGTTAAATATGATGTAAATCCAGGGGTCAAACATCTGACTGCAGGTGGCCATTCGTATGAAGAACAAAAGCTCGTCCTCTGATACAGCAACAGAAGTCACTGGGCTCACCAGAAATTTTATCTGCGCAGGGTATCACATAATTGAGGTTAGATAAGACTGCAGGAAAATATGTCTTTCGGTCAGGAAGGACTTTGACCCTTCTATTCTTTATTGTGAATTCCTAAAATGATGACAACTGTGGTAACTTAAATGGCTCGAAAGCAACATAGACTGCACTGGTGTTCTTTTTTTATATAAACAATAACTGTATTACAATATTTGAAAGTTCACGTCAAATATTCCACACTTAAGGAGTTAAGGTCTATTATTTTACCACAGACCTATAAATCATGACAATATGACATAATGGTGAACAGGTTTGTTATGGGGGTATCAGTGGGTACTTAATTCCTCTCAATCAATGTTTTATTAAGAGAAATAAGTTGAAAGATTTGTCAGATTAGCTACTGCTGAAATGTTGCTAATAATCATTGCACAGAAAACCTGGGTGTACAGGAGTTCATAATTTACTTAAAAGGTTGGGCGGTAGATAATGTTTACACTGGACTGTTGGATTATAATTCTACAATTCACCTTTATGTTATTTCCAAATAAATATGACTAACCAGGTGTTTGTTGCCCCCTTTGGACCTATTTTTGCCAATGTTTGCCTTCTTACCAGCAATTGAAAAGGCAGCAGAACTAAAGCCCAGGGGAAAAAAAGTAAGATCCAAGTTGTAATAAAGTGTAGTTTTCCTTTAAAGGCAATGTTTCACCCATGCTCATAAATTGAAATCAGGTGCCTACCAGAGCTTTTAGGGACTGTGTGATCCATGCTCAGATCAGCTTAACTTCCAGATCAGCTAGCTGGGAAGCTGAATTGCTAAGGTGAAATGAAGTATATAGAGGGACGGTGGAGAAACTATGTGATATTGTGGGTTGGCGTATAAATAGCACATCACTCTTGAGGATATTTTGTGTGTTATGTCTATGCATTTTAAGCTATTTGTGTGTCATTTAACGCCATTAAAGGATTGGGGGTTAGTCAGTAGAGAAATAACGTGGCATCAAATGACGTGAAAAATGCTTAGTGCTAACACACAAAATTACTTCGGAAATCGGCACCTTATACCAGGTTGGGAGAAAAAGAGCTTAGGACTTAGAACATTTGAAGGGTATTTGAAGTGCTTCCAGATACCTGAGAAACCCAATATCATGACTGAATCTTCCTATCAACCACCTTATAGGTGATGTTGATAGTTCTTTCATCAAAGTTCAGAAAACATTTTTTTGCTGTTTTTTTTTAACAGCCTGAAGAAATCTCATCTGGAATACTCTGTATCAACCTTAAATAATCTTAAATTAACCTTAAATGTTTTCATGTAAATATACACGCTAAGCTAAAATGGGGTTATAACAGGGAAATGTCTTCCATTTGTGGAGATGTTGGTTACAGGGGTAAGTAAAGTAAATTAAAGTAAAGTAGGTCAAAAGAAAGCTTGAATCACCACAGTGGGGAAAGCACTTCCTCTATATTGTTCTACTGTAAGTCGAACAAATTTAGCACAGTTAAATGACTTTTTACAACATTTGATGATCTAAACATGTTACATGCACAAACATAGGGTGCACTCACCAGGAGGGGGCACCAGCAGATAGAAGCGATGAGCATGATCAGGATGAGCTGAACCATCATCTCCACTTCATGGTCTCGGCTCCGCTGGCTCCTGTCCTGTCCACAGCACACCTTGATCAGGGTCACCACGCTCACCGTGTTCAGCAAAAAGGACACAGCGATGCTCATCAACCCGACCAGTGAGAAGATCAGGGAGAAGATCAGGTCATTTCCCTTGGAGCTAATGAGGAAAAAACACCAGGAGCCGGGCTTCTGGATGTGGTAGCTTCCAATGCCTGTTAGGGGCAGCAATGCAATGCAGCCAGCGATAAACCACACCATCAGCACCATGGAGATCGTCCGGCCTTTGGGCATCTTGGCAGAGCGTGCAAATGGACGGTTGATGCCAATGAAGCGCTCCACGGCCATGGCAGCACCAAGCAGCAGTGGGCACAGTCCATAGAAGACCATGGACATGCCCATAAAGTTGCAGAAGTGGCAGTAAGGGTCTAAATTGCGCCAATTAAATTTCGTAACATGGAAAGAGATTGTGATGGAGCCCGTGACCAGAAGACCCATGAAGTCAGTGACCACCAGGCCGCCCAGGAAGATCAGGAAGAAGGAGCGTGAACAACTGTTCGTCCGCCGGAAGGCCTTGACGAGTACTATGAAGGCAATGAGATTGGAGGGGAGACCGAGAATGGTGAAGATGGTTGAGTAGTAGGCTGAAGCAATGGGGGGGTTGTACTTGAATGGAGGGCTGTTGATGGAGTAGCAGAGTGGGGTGTTGTTGGCGAGTGGCAGGCCTGAGGCATTCATGGTGGTCAGTGGGTGCAGGGTCAGTGATTTCAGATGACTCAGGGATGGAAAGACAATACCAGTCAGAGGAGTTTAATTTCTCTCTTCAACCTCAAAAGTAACAAGAGAAAAGTTATATCACCAGACAGCCATCACAAATGAAAGTTAGAAAACACTTAGAATATTAAAAATGCCTTGAAAAATGCACAAACACAAATGAAATGCTCTTGTGGATACCTTCATGGCAAAACCTATGTGGAGCACTTTCCTTTTTTTACTTTTGTGGATGTAGTGCTAAATGGTGCTTATCCAACTCTTCATTCAGACTCAGCATGATGCAAAACCATTGGTGCTGAAAATTGGTTTCTATTCATCCATCTATCTTTTATACATGCTTACTCCTATTTAGAGCCATGTGAGGCTGGGCTGAAGCCCATCCATGCATGCATAGGGAAAGTGGAATGGAAACACCCTGTACAGGTGGGCAGTCCATTGTAGTCTCTATATTAAAAACTTTAAATGATTATTCTGTTTTATTAAAAATTTGTTGTTTTGTTATATTTTGTCATAATTTCTATTGGTTATTTTTGTATTGCTGTATTCACCAAAGTATTTGCTGAGATCTGGGAACATGGCTGACCTGATGCAACAAAGTCTGACCATGCAAGAAACAGGAGATGGACAGATGGTCAGATAAACAAGTTGCAAACAAGCCAACAGTCTGGCCAGAGTTTCTAAACCACTTTATTTGGAGGTAAAACATACATATAAACTATATAAAGTCAATGTAACAGCTAAGATATAGCACATACGTAAAACTTTCACAAACACATGTAGACAGTGACAGCAATGGCGAGAGTGATACAGAAACCAAAATAGACAGCGAAAAGGAGAGCTGGCATATCCTGCCAGGAAATGCAGTTGTGTGAACAGTGCTGACAGGGACACTTACAGGAAATAAACACACACACTGTCACAATTAGAATAGGATGATGTCCCCAGTGATCTGTCCCCAAAAGGCCTGCCATAGTCAGATTGTATGAGACTGGCTTCATGCAAAGTGAAAGTATATTTTAGGTTTGAAATTAAGGTGAAGTAAAAAAAGAAAAGGGAAAGAAACAAAAATCCTTTTCTTTAAACAAAATATTTGTGTCATGGGAAGACATATTGACATCATCTTGAAATAAGATAAAGGAATAAACAAATAAACCCGTAAAATATGATCTAAACGGAAAATGTTTCTCTAGAGAGATGAAATTTAAAGGAAGGAGTAAATTTGGTAATTGCATCAGCAAATACAGCAAGGAAATAAAAGACAATAATAATACACAGCTTATGTTACCAAGAGAAATAAACAAATAACAGGACGCTGTTTCCTTATAATAATTATTATTATTTAATTAATATTATATTACACTGACCCCTTAACAGTGAGGGTAACACATTCAGAAACTTGATCTAAAAAGCAGAAGCACTTGAGTAGAAAGAGCATGCAGCACAGACTTAATTTCATTAGTTGTCTTTTTAGTAGTACTATCTGTTATTCTAATGTGTTCCCACATTTTGTGTTAAGTTTCTTCTTTTGCTCATCTCTTCCTGTAGTATTAGTGTGAAACTTAAAGAACAAACTACAATAAACAAAAAAACATCAATTTAAATTCTTTACCTTTTTGCACTTTGATGTGCAAAGGCACAGTTGTGCATTGCTGTATTGTATTACAAAAGCAGCTGAACTGTCAGCTGTCCGTGTTCTGCTGCACCACAACAAAACAACAAAAACCACCAAACAAGAGCCTTTTTTAAGCCTGCCCTACCTTTACTTTTTGTTGTTTTTAAGACCTTTCCAAGTCCTTAAAAATGTCTTCATGTTACCTTAAATTCTATCACTTTCACATAGGTTTAAGCCTTATTCATACAGCTTCATTCGAGTCTACCTGGAAGAAACCCAAAGTTCTGCCATGGAATTCAGTTAAATCTAACAATGACTTTCTCATTTAGCAAAAAAACAAAATAACAGCTTGCATGTAAAACACAAATTACATCTGAAATTAAAGTTGATGTACTTGTGTAGATTCAAAGATTAATATAGGCTAATACCCCAAAAGCCATGACAGCAGGTTTTTGTCCAATTGTCATAATGAGGTCCATCCATCCCCAGAGAATATTAGCATAAGGCTAGATGATGCTTGGCGCCAGCTCTTGTCTGACCCTGAAAAACCTTTTGAAAGTAACATTAGCCAAAAGAGTCTGTTAGCATCCACCAATCAATATGGCATATTCAAAATTGCATCACTAAGGCGGTCAGATGGTTTCCTTTTCAAGCTAGCGGGAAACCACAGAAACTTAATTGAGATCAGTGGTAAATGCTGTGGTTGAATTTTCCCACATTTAATCAGCACTGAGCAGAGCTGCTGCAGCTCTAGTAATAGAAACATTTGTAAAAATGAAACTTAAACTTAAAATCAGATTTAGTCATGACAAATGACTAAATGACAAATTTAAAATATTATTTAATCTTTCATATTTCCCCAAAAGCAGCTTGTTGCTGTTGACAAATGGTATGTTAGTTTATGCAGTAATTAAAGTCTTACCACCACAGAAGTGCTTCCATGGACCAAGATGACTCTAAGTTGGAAGGTTTGCACTATTCTTTCCAAACCATTGCTCTGCACTGTTACGATTAATAATGATGACACAAAAAATAATCTCAGTAAGAGGTGGGAAAGACGTCACATAGGCTCCAGTCCCATCTGATGGAAATAAAGTCTGCAGGCTCTTAGCAGGAACCCTTGATAATCTCCACTCCCTTTCCCTGGCTATATCCCTGTTCACAGCTGTTCTCATTCACCTCTCCCCCTTCCAGTGGTGCATGCCTTTAGCTCAGTTAACCCCGCCCAGGAAGACAAAGGGGGAGGGTTGTGGGAGGACGCCACATTGTGTTGTAGGCAAGAGAGAAACATCATTACGCATCAAAGTGGAGATAGTAAGTGGTGCACAATGGGGGGAAGGGGCATTTGTCTCATGTATTGTTTCTAATTCTTACTTGTGAATGTACATGTGTAAATGTTTGTCCTATAAAGGCTGCAGAGGGTGGTCAGTGTAAGACTAGTCAATACACTGAAACATACAATTTATTTTTTGCATAAAAATGAATGAAAAGAGCTACAGTGCTTCAAATGCCAAAAATATGTAGTATTTAGGCTATGTAGTATATTATCTTATAACGGCTAAGAGGTATGATTTCTGTACATCAACACAGTTAATAATGGTTCAAGGGCAATTTAATAAGGCAAGACTTTTGTTGACTGGAGACCTTAGCAAATGGAGTAATCAACCTAATTTATGGACACTGACATTAGATTCAAGATTACTCTGAAACAAGTTTTGTACAGAATCTGTTTTGCACTGTACTGCACACAGAACTGAGTCACTTCATGATCCACATTTGCATCACATATGTGCATAGCTGCCGAATACTTTTTTCTCTCTCTCTTTCTCTCTCTCTCTCACACACACAAGCAAACAACTATTAACCTCAGTATCTTCCGTTTTGTCAGTTGTGGTGGGAGGAGTGATGGAAGTGATTAACCACAATCTACATTCATTTGCATTATAATACCACAAAGAACACACAAGAACTCATTTATCTACTGGACAATCAAAGCAACTGCAGCATCAGAAGTTGTCTTTGATAAGAGCCTGGGAATAGGGCCGGGACTGGAACAGCACTGGCCATAAGATCATAATCAAAATCTGGGTCTTTTCCAATCGGGACAACATGAGAGCCTTCAGTAAACATAAGAACATTAATAATGTAAACCAGAGTCACAGTGATAGAGTATGTTATCATTTTCAGTCTGACACTGTCTGACATTTTTCTGCTAACACCTATCTTCAGTACATTGAGCAATCTGACCTCTAGTTTGGGTAGCCTTTTGCCAATTTATAAATGATATGATGATAAAAGGCATTTTATAATAATATAAAATGCCTTTTATGTCTTAACTATACTATGACTTTTTATCTTCTACCAAACTATGAAATTTGTATGCCTTACTAGACTATAATGTTTTTATGCCTTACTTAACGATGATTTATTTATGGGGTGGCATAGTGAGCAATGGACAGAGTATATAGTATAATGTTTTTATGACTTACTGTACTATGACTTTTTATGCCTTACCAAACTATGAAATTTGTATGCCTTACTAGACTATAATGTTTTTATGCCTTACTTAACGATGATTTATTTATGGGGTGGCATAGTGAGCAATGGACAGAGTATATAGTATAATGTTTTTATGACTAACTGTACTGTGACTTTTTATGCCTTACTATAAAATGCATTTTATGCCTTACTATAATATGACTCTTTATGACTTACTATACTATGAAGTTTTTATGCTTTGCTATATTATGAATTTGTATGCCTTAATATACTATGAAATGTTTATGCCTTATTATACAATGACTTTTTTATGCCTTATTATACTATGACTTTTTTATGCCTCAGTATACTATGACTCTTTTTTATGCCTTACTATGCAATGACGTTGTATGCTTTACTATACTGTGACATTTTTATGCCTCACCATTTGATGACTTTTTTATGCTTTACCATAATATGACATTTTTATGCCTTATTATATTTTCATGTTTTTATTTCATTTTCTGACTTATTATACTATGACACTTTTTATGCTTTGCTATACATTGACGTTTTTATGACATTTTATGACGTTATATTATTATCATTTTTTATGCCTTACTATGCTATGATGTTTTTATGACTTTACTATACTATTATATATACTATTATATAGGGTCGGTGTATTATAGTTTATATATTCATTCCCTATATCAAGTAATTGATGTTATTATATGTGTAGCTCCTTAAGGGATTATATCATTATGACTTTTATACAATCCTCAGGAAATATATGTAAGATATTTAGTTGTATAACTCAATTTAATGTATAATTTTTTTATGCCTTATTATACCAATACCATTTATTTGATTGCCTTACTATACTGTTGTCATGTTTTTCTGACTCAAACTTTATACTATGATGTTTTATGATCCTTACCTTTACTATGACTTTTTTATGCCTTTACAATTTACTATGACTTTTTATGCTTAGTACTTATTATTATGATCTTTTTTTATCACTTACTAATTACTATGAACATTTTATGCGCTTTCTGTTACTATTACTTTTTTAATGCCTTACTATACTATGACTTTTTTTCTGACTTTTACCGTTATTAGTATAATGTTTTTTTTGACTACTGTACTGTGACTTTATGCTTCTTACATATAAAAATGCATTTTTATGCTTAACTATATCAGTGACTTTTTTTGGCTTACTCTAACTATGTCCTTTTTACTATTTACTCCACATATTATGACGTTTGATGACTTTTTCTATAACTGAACATATTTGTATGTGCCTACTCTATAATATGACTTTTTTATTGAACTTTACTTTATGTATACTATGATTTTATGTATTTGCCTATATATGAAATTTTATGCCTTAATACTTATGAAATTTTATGCTCGTGATTATTACAATGACTTTTTTCATGCCTTACTTAAAACTGTGGATGTTAATGGCCTACTTTATACTATGACTTTAGCCTATCTTTATACTATGACTTTTATTAACTCTCAGTTTATACTTATGGACTCTTTTATGCTCTTACTTTATACATATTTGACATTTGTATGCTCCTTTATATTACTGTGGACATTTTTTTATTGCCTCACCATTTGATGTACTTTTTTATGCTTTACCATAATTATTACATTTTTAATTGCCTTATTTATACCTTTCATGATTTTTCAATTCATGTTCTCGACTTATTTATACTATGACACTTTTTATGACTTTGTGCGTTATTATCATTATTTGATTTTATGGACTTACCTATATTATGACATTTTATGCCCTATTATAGCGATGTCTTTTTTTATATGCCCTTACTATTCATATGATTTTTTTATGACTTTAACTATTACTTATAATATTATATAATATTATATTATAATATATTGAAATATATGTCCTTTATATCAAGATTCCATTCATTTATGTTCACTCCTAAGAGTTATTATATTTCATTACGACATATTATTATACATCCTCTGAATATATGTAAAGATATAAGTTGTATAATCAACTTTAATGTAAAAATTTTTTAGCTCTTACTATTTTTACTATGACTTTTTAAAAAATAATTTACTATACTATGATTTTTTGGTGATTTACTATATCTATAACCTTTTTTGCCTTCTTTTCCTCATACTTTTATGGATCTTTTTCATACTCTTTCACTAATAGTATGATGTTTATACCTTAATTATTACTTATGCATCTTTTTATGCTCCTATTTAACTCAATAACTATGCCTCATACACTATGTTTTTTATATCTATTTAGTATTGGCGTTTTTTTATGACTTACTATAGTTATTGATGTAATTATGTTCTTTTACTACCTATTCACTTTTTTTATGACTTACATATTTACTATGACCTTTAGATGCCTTACGTTCTATTTTTGTACTTTTTTATGCCTATTACTTCTTATTTTAATAGTTTCACTATTTATTTTGAATGCTTTCTTACTAGAATAGCTTTTATTTATGACTTACTATATGTTTTTTTCGACTACTTATTACTATTCCTTTTTTGCTCTTACAATATTATGATCGTTTTTATGCCTTTCTAAATATCAATTTATGTCATATATATAAATATATCCATTCCCTTATATCATGAATGATGTTATCATATGTGCTAACTCCTAAGAAGTATTATCTTACCGACATTTTTATCATTTCCTCTGGCAATATATGAGATATAAAGTTTATAACTCAATTTAATTGGTAAATTATTTCATGCCTTTACTATACAATGACATATTTTATGCCTTACTATACTTTTGCATTTTTTCTGACTCACGTATTCTTTATACATGATTTTATGACTTAACTGACTATGGACTTTTTATGCCTTACTATTAACTATGTACTTTTATTGGCAGTACTATATTATGTGAACCTTTCTTTTTTTTATTCCCTACATATACTATGACATTTTTATGCACTTACTGTACTATTGACTTTGAGAGTGCCTTTACTTTTATTTAACTTGACTGTTTTTTCTTTATCTTTACTATAGTATATATGTTTTTTTTGACTTACGTGTACTGTGGTATTTTTTATGCCTTTAACTATTAAAATGATTTATGTCTTATCTACTATACAGTGACTTTTTTATGGCGGCTTTACTTATACTATGCTTTTTATTATGCCTTTACCCATATTATGACTTTATTAATCCGTTTTCTATTACTGACTTTTTACTGCTATCTTATCTATAATATGACTTTTATGACTTACTGTATACTATCGATGTTTGATGCTTTGCTATTACTATTCATGAATTTTATGCACTTAAATATACTATACAATGTTTATGATTTTATATATACAATATGGACTTTTTTTATGCCTCTATTTTATACTATGACTTCTTTTATTTGCTCAGCCTTAACTACTCTCTATATACTATGACTCTTTCTTGCTATTGCCTTACTATGCAATGACGTTGTTAGCTGCCTCCTATACGGTGACCATTTTATAATGCCCTCACTCTAGTTTGGTATGACTTTTTTATAATTACCATAATATGACATTCTTTAATTGCCTTATTATATTTTCATGTTTTTATTTCATTTCTGACTTTATTATATAAACTTAATGGACCAACTTTTTTATGCTTATGCTACCTATTGACGTTTTTATGACATTTTA